AATATTAGCTGACATCATTTTTCCCCCGTGTCAAAGTCCTCCTCCCCCACCTCCTCCTCCTTTGAGGTGAGCTGAGCTTTTGGTAACTTTATGGATATATCTTTAGTTTGCTTGGTAACAGTGCAGACATGGTCTGCAAATGCCTTTTTCTAACCTTATGGTCCAGTCCTGGGGTCCCAGTGGCCTCTTCTCCAAGTACTAACTGGGTTCAACCCTGCTTGCTTCTTGAGATCTGCCAAGATTGACTAGGTCTTGACTAGCTGGGTGAGGAGAGTGTTGCAAGGAGAAAAGGAAGAAGTGGTGAAAGATAGCATGGGTCTCTCCTGGCTTTTGATTCAGCGTTGACAATGATACCCCTGCTCCTGCCTTTTCCGGGGAGACTCCAGTTTCCAGGCAGGCAGCAAGACAATCTAGAGAGCTAGCCTGAAATTTGCAACTGGACCACAGGAAGCAACCTTTGGGATGGGCACTGGAGGAAGTGAATGAAAAACATCTAGCTCACTGGGAAGGGGGGTGGTATGCAGTGGTGTGCTGGTAAATGTTTAAGAACCAGCTCTGTGGTTTCCATTGCTGCCACATGGCACTGTGCCGGTGTCTCTGGAAGACGTTATTGGCACACTAGGTGCAGTGGCTCAGCTCTGCTCTCAACCAGCTCGCAAAATTCCAGACAATGTAACAATCGGCACTTGTGAGTTAGTGCAAGACGGCTCCAGCACAACACTGACTACGTGCCACGTGAGCCCTGTCTTTCTGGGCCTCTGTCTCTTCCCCTGTGATCAGATTGTCAAAGTAGTATTATAACAGAATAAAGAAAAGAAATCTGGAAAAGACTGATACCTGGAACATTCTAAACCTTAACGATGTGGGAAATTATACATATAACCAGGACATACACACACAGCTTATTATTTTTCTCTGTGATGCTTTCTTCTCCATTCTGTACCTCAGCTACAGAAACTGGCCTTTACAAGATGCTCCAAGGAAATCAATCCATGGTGGAAGAGTTTGTCCTACTGGGCCTGTCCCAGACCAGAGAAGTCCAACTTGGCCTCTTTCTCCTTTTTCTCCTCTTTTATTCTCTGATCCTGCCAGGAAACATTCTCATCATACTGACCATTCAGAAAGAACCTCAGCTGAGCTCTCCCATGTACTTCTTCTTAGCCAACCTGGCTTTTCTGGACCTCTGTTACTGCTCCATCACTCCTCCCAAGATGCTGGCTGACTTCTTCTCCAGCCACAAGACCATCTCCTACAAAGGCTGCTTAGTCCAGATCTTCTTTCTTCATTGGCTAGGAGGCTCTGAGGTTTTCCTTCTCATTGGCATGGCCATTGACCGCTATGTGGCCATTTGCCACCCTTTGCGCTATACCAGTCTCATCAGCAAAGTGGTCTGCTACATTTTGGTCCTGACATCCTGGTGTCTAGGGTTCATGCACTCTATTATCCAGGTAATCCTTATTCTCCCACTACCATTCTGTGGACCTAATGAACTGAATAATTTCTTCTGTGATATCACTCAGATCATCAAGTTGGCTTGTACTGACATTTATGCACTGGAATACATCATGTTCTTCAACAGTGGCTTGGCCACCTTGATGTGTTTCATCCTTCTCCTCATTTCCTATGGGGTCCTTTTGGTCAAGGTGAGAGCAGATTCTACCAAAGGAAAGAGTAAAGCATTCTCTACATGCATCACCCACATCATCATCATCTTCATCATGTTTGGCCCAGCTATCTATGTCTATTGCCGTCCCTTTCAGGAATTCCCCTTTGATAAGGTGGTGGCTGTTTTCCATACAGTGGTCTTCCCTTTGATGAATCCCATGATCTACACACTGAGGAACAAGGAGATCAAGCAAGCCATGTTGAAATTGTTAGGCAAAATTAAAGTTCAAAGCAGAAGATGAAGATATTTAATATCAAAGGCATTTGAAGAGTTGTGCCCTGTCCATGCTACACATACCTGCTGAGGTTTTGCAAGCAAGTGGCAGAAAAGCCACTCAGTTGTCTGTAAATATATGAAAATCAAAACCATGACAGAATCAGAGTGAACCAAAGTCCAAACCTAACTCAGGAACATCAGCCATAAACAATTTAGTTCAAATATCAAGGCACCAAATAAGTGTCAAGGAGCAAAAGTCAAATTTTTGAAATGAATGTTGACAATTGAATTCCAGCCTGACTGAGTGGATGAAACCATATTTCTGTGAACTCCTTCACTTGCCCTTTCTCCACTCCAGCTTGTTCTGCTTTGTTTCGGGAAATCTGACTTCTTCACTTTTTTCCCTGAATGCTCAGATCCCATCTCTGGCATCAGCCCTCACTCTTGAGTACTTCCAGCATCAATTTCCTCTGTTTTTGGTTCAAAGAACAACTTGTAACTGGCTTAGCTTTCTTTTTTTGAATTTGGTAAGGACATTTCTTGGATCTCTGGAGATTCAGTTCCCTTCTGGCTGGAGGTTAAAGCTTCTCACTTGGCTCTTTGAGAAACACCAAAGGTATTTGAATGAGGTTTTCATCCTCATCTAAGTCCAATTAAGCTGCCTCAAGGTAGTTTATCCTTCATGGACTTATATGGATTTATATCCTATCCAGTTGCAAGAACAGGTGACACCTTTGATTATATTTTCCAAGCCACAAAACTGAATCAATTTTCTATGAAGTCAGAAGATGGTTGAGTGTTGCAAAAGCATTCTTAAATAAAACTTGATTTTTTAAAAGCACAAATGTTGAAGAAAAGCCTACAAAACCTCAGTAATTGCACACTTATTTAAAAGTGAACCAGTAACCAGGTAGACAGTCTTAGTAATCAGAAACTGCTTCTCTCTCTCTCTCTCTCTCTCTCTCTCTCTGCAATTGGGGCCACAAACTTCAAGAACAGTCTACTTAGAGGGAAAGGTTAACATTAAAAATAATGTCAATTCTTACATTTAAAAAAAAAAAGTTTAGATGATGGAAATCCATGCCACCAAGTCTCAGAATGTAGCTACTGATTTTTGGTAATGTATTTTGAGGAGGGTGGGCTCTGGAAGTAAGTATCTCTCTCTCTCTCTCTCTCTCTCTCTCTCTCTCTCTCTCTCTCTCTCTCTCTCT